ACTCTAAAATGTGGTGTCACTAGGGTTTTATGGAGTGGCATTAGTACCTCACTTGATCTTGATTGTATCCCTCTGTTAATGTAATTTAGGATTGCATTAACCTTTTTGGCTGCTGCCACACACTGCTGGCTTATATTTAACTGATTGTCCGCTAAGGCTCCAAGATCTGTCTCAGTTACTGCTATTAAGCCTGCTTTCACCCAGTCTATATGTGTAGTTTTGGTTTTTCTTGCCTAAGTGTAATATTTTACTTTTCTCTACATTGAATTTCATTTTGTTAGATAGGACCCAGTGTTCAAGTCTGTCAAGATCCATCTGGATCTTGAGCCTATCTTCTAGGACAGGGGTGAGCAAACTACGGCCTGCGGACCACATCCAGCCCGTTGGACTTTTTAATCCGGCCCGCCGAAGATTGGTACAGAATTAAGGTTTGATGTGAATGATTGAATAATTGCATTCATTTGATTTTGACTTGTAATGACAGGCATTTTGACACCAGGTGGCACATTAGGCGCAGTGACTTGATTTTGTGGAGATTTTGCAGTTTTTTATATGTATCGTATCTTGTGCTGACGCTTTTTGTAACCCAGAGATGGTAGCTATATATGTATCAATATACATTGCAAGGAACCCATAATTCAAATAGTACTATATTATAAACATTTCCAAGTCATGATGAATAGTCTTGTAGAATAATTTGACTCATTTGCATTCCTTCTTGTAGTTTTTCCTTAAAATAGGCTACATTGGCCACAGAGGACTCTTGCTTGGGTGAGTCTTATTCAGCCACCAACAGCAGTATAGGAAAAGCTGATTTTTCACCTATCAGCATGCATGAGCCATACAAGCCAAAATTAGTTCATTATCCCACACTAAAGCTCTGTGTATAATAAAAAGGTGACCAGATCTTGGCTTTAAACAACAAAATTACCAGGAAATGACAGGAGAGACATACAAAACTCTTTGTTTCTATCTAATTATCCTCCAGATTTAGGCAGGGTACGTCTGATCCCCCTAATTATATAAATTATACAATCACAGAATATGGGTTGTAAGATTGTAATCCAATCCCTGTTCAGTGAAAACATCCGCTAGTACAGTATTTCCAGTGGATAAGCAATCCAACCTGTTTAAACACTTCTGGCTAAGTAGACTGCACCACTGTTTTGAACAGCCCTTCTGTTAGAAAATTCTTCCTGATGCCCATTCATAATCCTTGGAATTTCTATTCACTGTTTTTATTTTACCTTATGATTAACACTGAACACCGTCTTGACAGTCCTTCAGATACTTGAAGGTAGCTCTCACATTTATTTCCAGTTCTCTCTTCTTTAAGCTAAATTTTCAATCATTCCTTATAAGTTTTTTTTTCTACCTGGCTTCTTAGCATTTTGGTTGTTCTCCTTTGAATGTTCCAATTGTCAGCATCATTCTTAAATACAGTGCTTAAAACAGCACAGAATACCCTGGGTATGATATGACCAATGCAAAATAGAGAGATACAATTAATTCTCTTAAACCTGCTGTAATTTTGAGTGGCAGCCTATGCTGCATCTTCTTAATTCCCTTCTGTCCTTCCTTTCTACTGCATCACACTTGTAATCACTAAACCACCCAGATATTCTTCACACCAATCCATCCTATATTCATGATTTTTCTATCCAAATAAAGGGTTTTGCATTTGTCCCTGCGTCTGACATTCAACTTACTGCACTGTTCCAGGTTAATAAGTTCTTTCTAATCTTACTTTCTCCTAAGTTATTTGCTATTGTCCTATTTTTATGTCATCTGCAACCAGTTCTGAATCCTTCTAATAATATGGTCTACCTCACATTTTGCCATCTTCTCTACTAGAATCTCTTTGGAGATGACAAATGCTTTGCAGAAATAAAAGTGCATTATGTCTATTGTGTAGTCACTCTTAAAAATGGATATTGGTTTGGCTTGGCTGAGCCCATTCTGATTTGTCCCAAGCCATTCCTTCTCTAACAATTTTCAAAGAACATAGAAGGAGCTTTCAAGATGATACGTTATGTTCCTCCAAGACTCTGAGATGTGACTGAAAATAGGCTTGAGACTGAAACTTTGTTATAGTAGCTCTGTAACCATCTCTTAACTTATTTTGAGCTGGCCTTTTCTCATTGTGTCAGTTGTACTTGGGTCGATTTTAGCGCAGTTCCCCTTTGCAGAAAAGGAAATATCACCATATCATTTTTTCCAAGAAGTGAAACCGTCGCCTTCTTCCTTTGATACCGATATAAATAAACCCTATCCTCTTTTGTTGCTGTTAACTTCCTTTATGAGCATAAATTCCTTTTGTGCTTTGAACTTTACTTCCTTCTGACCAGATACTAACTCCTTGCTGGTACACCTCTTTAGTATTTACACCCATCTTCCTTTTCTTCTATAAGGAGTTTTAAAGAAGTGCACAACCTTAACTCCAGGGCTACATGTATTGCCTCAAGGCCTTCAAATGATCTGCCTAATTATAAACACTATTATGACAGAAGAAAAATATTAAATATATGGAGGGAAATCATATTCTGCTTTTAAATTTCATTTGAATTTTAAATTAAAATTATATGTACTGTAGCAATTTGAATTACATTTGAATTAAATGGCCTTGTTTTTCTCTTAGCCCCATTCATTATTTTGTGCTCTGTCATTCTTCATTTTTTTGTTTTGGAAGATGATGCAAATCTCTGTATTACAATAATAATTGTTAAGACAGCCTCACTGTTAATTAAGTGGCTTGTCATTGTTTTTCCTTTGTATTTCCAATCTAGTCTATAACCATGAAATTCTCTTCATCCCATTTATGTCTTGAAATTAGCCAAAGATTGACTAACCAAAGCCATCACTGGTGGGATGGGGGGGGGGACACATAATCAAAATGGCAGCTAGAGCAAATCCCAAATCTTTGTAAATGCATAGACATTGTACACAGGAACAAAGCAACAAAGCTTGATTCCTTGGTCTCCACCTGCTGTGAATGTGCCTTGTGCTATGTGATAAATTTACATAAAATGTGAGCTGGCATGGTGGAGTTGAAAAACCAAAGCAATTGTGTTAGTCTGACTGCCAGACTTCCAGGAATTCCCTGGCATTTTGGGATTTAGCTTGATCTAGGATGCTCGGATTCCCAGCTGAAACTATGGCTGAGTTTGTTTTTGTGATGTGAGATTAATGTCTTGAATCTCATCATGTCTTGAGTCTGCTCATTGGTGTTCATGGATGTGCTCTGGTAGTCTTCTGCCTGCCTGTCCTATGTAATGGCTGTTACAGTTCCCATATTGCATGTTGTAGCGATTCTTGGGTTTTTTGGCTTAAGATGCTCTAATTGATTTGTGTTCTATGGTGATGCCATGTAATTGATAGTCAGTTGGAAGTTTTGATATATAGTTTTCCTTTTCATGGTTTGCATTGGTTCTGCTAGTGGGTTGAGTGGTCAGGCACCTTTTGATAAATTGGGTGCGTTGTGTACTACTGATGCCATGGATTCTTTCACTAGTTTTGGATCTATGGATATAAAGAGTGCCACCATACCAAATGCAACCATATTTTCATCTTCTATTTTTATGTGTTTGATTTTCTTGAGGCACTGTAGTAGGGTGTTGAGAGTTAAGTGTGAAAGACTATATTTAGTTCTAAAATAGTTGTCTTGCATGTATACAGGGCTCCTTCTCATTTAAATCAAAACAGCTTTATGAGTTTGGGGACAATCCTACTTCAATCCTAAATTACTGTACTGATTATATTGATTTACTGTATTGGAGAATACTCTCCCATCCACATTAAAATTTTATACTTCATTATTGTTTTTTATGTAATTTAGCAGTTATGCTAAAATCAATTATTACTGTTATTTTCTGCATGTAGTTCAGAGAAGTGTAGTATCCCATTAATACAGTTTTGCCTGGCATTTTATTCTATGTTGGTGGAATATAACCTATATTAAAAAAAAATCTGTATAGTCCTGCATTCTTTTTTCATAAGGAACAACCCATTACATCTCCCCCTAACATTTACTGATGGCTCTAAAAGATAGCAATGAACTCCTTGATTTTAGCACCTAGTTCTGGACGATCTCTTAAAACTGTAGGTTCTTTCAACTATTACACAAATAACTTGCTTCTTCTCTTACTTCTTTAACTCCCTTCAAATTTATCTTAAAGGCTGCTAAGCTTTTAAACTATTTATATGAATCTTTTGGCATATAGCAGCATACCTCTAAGCCCTAGCCCAGAGCTTCAGTGTACAATACTTAAAGGTTGACCAAATTCACTTTTACTTTTGAGTAAGCACACAGAGAATCACATTCTTAGGAAGGTGCAGTTACATAAACATGCTGAACATAATAAAAGTGCCCCAAAATGTTAATTGAACATATTTTCTTTCAGTTATCTACTTGCAATGTAAGCTTTAGTTGACAAGACAGTGAATTTTGTGGAAGTGAGGCATACACTCGGTAAATCAGATAGGATGTCTATCACTTTAAAAAACGCTTCTAAATCGACCTGATACATCCTAATGAAAATACCTAATTTACCATTTTGGGCATGCCTTTTATTTCAGCGAGAGAGATGGGGAGAAAGTGCCATCTTTCTTTGGGCAGTGTCTTTGTTCAGGTCAAACGCTTTCTCCCAACTCCTGGAGGCTGAAGAGGTTTCCTTACCAGTTTCACAAAAGAAGGTTTCCTTCTTCCAGGATTTACTTTTTTGAGATATCTTAATTCCCGCAACTCCAGGCACAGTAGGAAATTCACAAGCCATAAGTGCCGGGAGAGAAGAGCGTCGCCTCCTAAGGGGAGGGCGTGCGTGTGCGTTGGTGTGGTGTTTATGTGTGTATGTGAGAGAGAGAAAAAGAGGAAGAGAGAAACAGAGTGAACGAGGTGCGTGCAAGTCCTCACCTTCCTCCACGCACGTGTCTAGTCACCTCCTAAGGGTGCGTGAGAGAGAGAGAGGGAGGCGCGTGCAAGACTCCTCACCTTCACCCACGCGCGCGTCCAACCCTGCGGGGAATCTTCGCTCATAAACTCGAGGGAGGCGGGCAGAGGCCTCGCGGCGCCTCCTTCCAGCCACACCCACCGTAGCCGCGCCGCTCGGTTCCGTTCAGCGCCGGAGACCTGAGGCGGCGTCAGCCCCAACTTTTGCCTAAGTTTTTTTTTCCCCTCCCCCGGCCCCGCCGCTCTCCGTTTCCGCTCCGAGCTCGGCTTCTTAGCCCGCGATGAGGGTGCCTCGTACGGCCCGCGTAGCGCGGTAGTTCCCGAACTCGTTCCGCTTCCTAACTCAGGAGCACGGTCACCCGAGCCCCCATGGAGTACCTCACCACCTTCACGGGCAAGAGTAGCCGCCTGCTGAGGGGTACCGCCAACCGCCTGTGGAGCGCCGTCCCCGGCGCGGGGAGCCTCCGCCAAGTCCACTTCCAGGATTCCCAACACGACGGGGCGCCCTCGCCGCCCGGTAAGGCCTCCAGCTTACATACTTGGCCCCAGCTGGGCCGGTGGGTTTCGGGAGGGAGATGGACGACAGGGGTTTCCCTTGTTCCTTTGTACCTGGTCAGTCAGAGAGAAAGAAAACGTCCGTCCCTCCTCCTTCCCTCATGTGGAACTACACTTCCCAGAATGCCCGACCCCTAAAAAGTTGTGCTTTTCGACCCTTTGGAGGGCACTCGGTTGGAGAAGGCGGGTTGCAGGCGCTGAAACTCTTGGGCCTACCTCCACCGCCCTCCCCTGGCCGCAGCTTTGATCAAACGCCTCTTTAGTGTACTTGGGCTGGTTTTGTTCAAGACTTTGCATGTATGGGATTTTTGGGGGTGGGGGTGGGTGGGGGGGAGCTGTTTACATAAACGGCGAGGAAGGCAGAGGGACCTGGAATTTGAACTCAAGGGAGACGCGCGAGTCCATATTGAAGTTTGAGATAAAACTTCAGGAAAAAAAGCCTTCTTTTTTCTGGTGCTGCGTTTGGCCTTTTGCAGCTGGAAAGGAGTTTTTCAGTGTCCTGCGCTCTGTCTTTCCTGCCTCCCTCCTCTGCTACTCTGGGGCCCATCTTCCACAGTCGTGCCAAGATTTTCCTTGTTTTAAGGAATGGAAGTCATGGGAAGAAGGCCCAAGCCAGACTGGGGTGCAAATTGGTCACCACTGGTGCTGACACCCATTTTTGCTTTATTTTATTTTACTTTTGCTAAGTAAAAAACGGCCTATTGCAGTTTTTCTTTAACTTTTTTCTCTCTTTCCAAAAATTATGGAAGCTTTTGTTTATATAGTCTGTATTTATCAGTATTTGCCAGATTAAAAATTAATATGGACACATTTTTCTACTGTTCTCACTATAGTTTGGTGGGATTTTAATATTTTTTTTCAAGGTAGACTGGCAGATAATTTTGATTTTGAGGCATCTTGAGAAGGTCCAATACGCTGGTCTATTGGACTATTCCTGCCAGAAAACTTTGGTAGCTTTTTTCAGTTCTTTTTCTTTGGTACAGGGGAAATGAATATCAACACTGTCCTTGAGAGATTCTCAGTGTAGGAACTATATCTTCTGCCTCTGATAGATTATCAGTGTGGGAGCTGTACTTTCTGTCTGGTATCTTTTCTTTTGAATTTCACTGAATAGTAATTTCTGGATCCACATATCTTAGTTTATTTAAACAAGCCATAGTAGCCTTGTCCCTATTAGTGCAGATTACACATTACATTAGCTCAAAATATGGTTTATTTATTTGATAAATTTACATAGCCTTATATATGTGGCTATGGGTGGTGTAGAAACACAAAACAAAATCACCAGAAAAACAACAAATGCTAACAAGCAGTTTAAACACATGCTGTAATCTAGTTTGTTTTGCATTACCATGATGTATTAAGTTTTATTTATTATGTATATAGATTTAAACAAACTGATTCCGCTTGATTCTGGATACTGTATAGAATCAGCACCAAATAATAAAGATAAATGATGCATCCCAGTATATGCATATAAAACAGAAATAGAATGTTCCCATAATCTTACAAGGATTTATCTGTCAACCTGATCAAAGGCCTGAGCAAATATCCAAGCTTTTAATGACTGAAAAAATATCAGGATCACTGAGGAAATGCTATTGTAGAGGGTTGGCCACATGACAGAGGAAGCATAATAACTAATAACTGTAGCTTTTAACCAGTGGAATGTAGATTAGAATGGTATAAATATGTAAATTATAAGGGTAGATAAGAACTTTCCAGAACTTCTTTAGTTTCTCCTTTTGTGGTTTTGTTTTGAATTAAATTAACTACAATCACGTTTTCTCCTTATAGGTGATGTATTGCCTGCTTCTGTGTTTGCCTCATAATATTCTGTGTAGCCACGGCCATGTCTGAACAGAAAATGTCATGTTTGTGCAAAGCAGTGTATTAATAAAGATTTTAATAGTTTTGTAGCTTTGGGGAAAATTATTTATTTTTAAACAAAGGTGTTAATAAGTATGTTAAAAGTTAACACAGACATTTTGTCCCAAGTAAATGATAATAAAGTTACACAATATAAAATGTCCATGTATTATTGAATCCAATGTTACATTAGGATAGAATCTCAAGGATTACTTTTTACTGTATGTTTAAGATTAAATAATGATATAAACATAATGTAGTTGATATATCTACAATAGCAATTCAGTTGTATACTTTAATTATCCAACTATCCAATTATCCAATTCAAAAGTAAATTTAATGCTTTTGTATTTAAATTTTAATTTACTTTTAAAATCTATTTTCAAAAATATATTAGGATAATTTATATATGAGAGCTGAGGTTTTTTTTATTTCAAAATTAATATCTATGCTTAGATTATGGTTCAGTATAGATATCTTGATTTGAGAATGACCTGGGATAGAATTTAACTACAGGCAACTAATTTCTTTTTTAACAAGGCAGACAATCTTTTAATTTATTTAAAATCTTTAGTTTTTAATTAACTTCAATATTGTGTGATGAACAAACATAGAAGCTTTGTTGTTATTTTTAATTTGTAGTTTGGGAAAATATCAAATTGTAGTTTGAAATCCTGTATGGTTCTTTCTATTCATAGTTTTAATAAATAGCAGTTTACCTAGGTTCAGATGTTACAGCAGTTTGAAAACATGCAAATGTGAGTAGATAAATAGGTATGACTTTGGCGGAAAGGTTACTGTGTTTCTGTATAATTCTGTAATGTATAATTGAGGGGCCTGGAACGTATCTATTCTGCTTGACTGTACTAGGTGGGAAGAAATTATTGAAGATGGACAAACCAGATAATCAGGCATTGTGCCATTAATGGCTCGTATTCTAAATTTTATATTGTTTTATTTTCTATGATATTGTTACATTGGTTAAAAACTATAGGAATTATAAAAATTCTGGTTTTATAATGTGCTTTGAATCTAAATTTACACTAAGAAGTTATTATTAAGCAACTAATGGTAGAAAATAAAATGCAAGATAGGGAATTCGTGTACAGTATTGTAGAATACGTTAAGTGTAGCAAATTGTGCTTATTTATTTCATACATTGCAATTCCTCATACAGTATGGGTTTACTTTTCAAATAAATATATGAAAAAGCACATTGGTAGATTAAAGAGGACCTAAAACTTGCATTCCATTAATCTGCTAATCATTTTAAAATCATATGTCAAACAGGCTTGTTTGGTTGTGAGTCACTTGCTGCAATAAATCATTTTTTAACAGTGGTGTGGTACAAGTTCATTATATAAGCCTAAGAAGTTATTTAGATCCTGCCCATAGATTTTTCCCATTAATTGTAAAAAAATGTAAAAAAAATTAGACAAAAACTACTCCATTATAAAAATATAATTTAATACTTCAGAATTATAAGATTATTCTATTAATTTTTGAAACATAAGCCCAAATAATGGAGTTTAATTTCAGATGCATAAAAAGATAATATTTAAAATATCCTTTATTCAAGAAAAAATATATAACTTAATGCTGAATGCTGTATACTCAAATTTTAATTTTTAGATTGAGTCTCCATGCAATATAACTTACAATGGAGGAAGTCAAATTCTCTAAATTCATAGATCTCGTAAATAGAAAATTTTAAATGATTGTCTCTGATAAGTTTACCTCAGCCTGTTAATAGTTTTGGAGGAACTGATTAGAGTTACGTTGGTAATATTTCATATTTTATTGTATTACAACATCTATAATTGGGAACACACACGCATAAAATGTTTTCTAAAAGTTCGAGTGGTAAATATCAACCTCTGGAAAATCAAAGATGGAAGGAGTTTTTGAAATTCTATATGGTAGGAATATTAATATCCCAGATATATTAGAAGGTATTCCCTGTTTGCATGAACCTCTTAATATTAGAAAATATAGCTAGGTCAACACATGGTCATTACCAAGTTGGAAGGAAGAAATTGATGGAATATCTTCAGAAATAGGAATTGATAGAATATCTTCAGAAATACGCAAGCAACAGCAAAAAAAAATCAGTAAAGATTCAAACCAAATCAAGCCTGGAAAATGTTACAGTGCCCTTTTTGGAAAGGGTCTGTCTAGGTACCAATACTAAAAAAAAAAAAAAAAAAGACTTAGCATTGTATGTATACTATCATGCAACACTAATTTCACATGCCACCAACGTTAAGTTGTTACATTCTAATGCATTTAAAATCATAGAGTCTTATATGGAAAGATAGATGGCATATGAAGAAGGCTCAACTTTTGTGGAGCAAAACAACCATGGCAAAAAAAAAAGTGTGGATTGGCTACTCATAAGTTCTCCCATGAGCTGTTCAGAGCATCCAGAAGTGGGGGGTGCTTCAGTCTCTTCTGGAAAGGCTGGGCTTAAAACGCCGGGACGTTCCTCCTCCTCCACAGGACACCTCCCCAGCGTCCCCCAGTTTTAGCTCAGCCTTTGTGGTAAGAGGTTGTGCACTCCCTGACTGGTACGGTTTCTGATTCAGCTAAGATTCAGGTTTGCTCTTGGGTTAATTCGGCTTGCAATTTTTTCCCCTATTAATCTGGCGATTTCAAGGCTTGTTGCTCTATTAGGTTATCCCCCCGATCAGTTGAGAGCAGCTCTTTGTGACTGGCAGAGCCTGCCACTTCGCAGGCAGCCTCAGATGGCCACTTCAGGCAATTAGCCTATCTAATTCCGCGATCATCTTATCTTTGCAATCTTGCCGGAACGCTCGCAGCCGTGGCTCACTTCTCCTTACAGGATCATTTGTCTGACATTTTAGAGAGTCAGCAGCAGCGGCTCGTTAAACTACTCAGGCATTTAACATCGGAGATTCTGCCTTCCTGCCATTTTAAACGGGTGGCTTCAAGTTCACACCTAAATAGTTCACCCGCTGGTTTCCCTTCTTGGGGACCGGGGCAAGTATTTTCCCACTCCACTTTCCTGAGATTATTTCTCTCTTAGCCTGCTGGCGTTGGATAAGCAGGCTAGTCCTTAAACAGGATTTTCCC